CCTCTAACACTCGAATACACTTTTATTAAGTTAATCTTTGAGTAATTACAAGAGAGGTCCTTGGTTGGACAAGAAATTACAAAAAAAGAGCATAGAAGAGTATGGGCCCAGAATAAGGCCCATTACAAAGAAGAACATAAAGATAACATAAAGTAACAGCCTATGGGCCATTCGGACCATCTTCTCTACATGAACTTATTCTTCTCATTGTTGTATTTCCACATTTTTGCCTCCTTACTTTGTTGCCATGCTGCTGTCAATTTGGGAGTCACCTTCGACAATTAGCTTCATAATATTCAAATTACTTGCCCTTTGCAGCCCTTCCGTCAATGCCATGATTGCAGCCCCTAGGGAATCTCCCTCACCAGCTAGGCCTGAATGTGAGGCAATTTTCTTACTCTCCTCATCCCTGAGCACTCCTCCCATTCCTGAAATTACTGGGTTTCCCAAACTACTCCCATCGAAGTTTAGTTTAACAAATAATTATCAAAAAAAAAAAAAGTTTAGTTTAACAAATCCCTTTTCCAGTGGAGACCATGAAGGTGTGATTATAGTCCTATTGATGGCTGAATCCACTACTTGCTTCCATTTCCAGAGTATATCGTCCAATGAAACATGTGAGAAGGTTTCTAGAGATTTCAACCAATGGGCCATTCTAAACATAATAGTTTCAATTATGGCTTCCTTGGTCCTTTTCCAAAAAAAAAAAAAAAAATCCTTGAGTTCCTTTTTTTACAAATTGTCCAGCTTATTGCTACCCTTTTACATGTCCACATAATTTCCCCCCATTGCTACCTACCCTTTTATTTCAAAGAAACAACAAAGTACAACAGTTCCCTAGACAAAAGAAGCCCAGAAAACAACTGAAATTACAGACTCCAACTGGACTGAGAACTAAACAACTCAGCTACATTCAGGTACTTGAACTCAGCAGTAACCGACACCCAGGAGATCAGCTTGATGACCAACTGCTGTACTAGCTCATCTGGATTTTTTGACTTGTTTGAGAAAACTCTATTGTTTCTTTCTGACCACAAAGACCAAAGAATTGCTGCAGGAATTTTTTTCCAGACAAGTCTTCCTTTTGTCTTCAGTCCTGCCAGATTCCAGCTAAATAGGAGGTCTTTGACTGATCTCGGCATGACCCAACAAACTACAGAAGACTTTAAAAAATGCTCCCATACTATAGAAGATATTGAGCAGTGGATACTTAGATGATCTGTACATTCTGGCATCAGTCCACACAGCCCACAAGCAAGGTTTGAGAGCTGCAGACCCCTCCTTTCCAAGCTGACTTTTGATAGGCACTTATTAAGCACCATAGTCTAAACCAGAAAATTGGATTTAGAGGGAGAAACTGCATTCCAGATTTGCTTACAGGGAAAGATAACAGGCCCACTAAGTTTAGAAGACAAGGACTTGTCTGAAAAGTTCGCATCCTTACTCCATTTCCATATCCACTTGTCCTCGCTAAGCATATCAATATTTTGGCCCTATAATAGATTCAGCAGATTCATTACCTCATTTAGCTACCTATCAAACAGATCTCTCCTAAACCATGGACACCAGGTCACTGAGCTGTTGGATAAAATATAGGAATCAGCCACTGAAACTTCTTGTTCTGCAGCACAATGAAAGAGCTGAGGAAAAGCTTCAGCCAAGGGGCTATTCAAACACCAGGGGTCCCTCCAAAATTTAACCCTATCACCTCTGCCCACTTTGAATTCCACACCTTCCAGGAAAACAGGTTGACTTTTTAGGATACCTTTCCATACTGAACAGCCCCAACTAGAGAGAGGGTCTTCAGATTTCCAGTTACCCCAATACACCCCGTACTTAGAGGCAATTAAGTTCCTCCACCAAGATGTTCTTTCAGCAGCAAATCTCCAGCACCACTTGCTAAGCAAGGCAGTATTTATCACCACTTGCTAAGCAAATGTTGTTGGAGCAAAGAGACTTGAGACATCAATCAGAGGAGTCCACCTACACCCAAATAACGGAATAAAAAATTCCCAAATAGAAACAACAAAGGAACAAGAAATTAGTAAGTGATAGCAAGTCTAACCATTGGCTTTTCATAGACACCAATGGGGGGATAAGCACCACTTTTGTCTCTTTCTTTGGAGCCAATCACAAGTATTTATTCTTTCATGGGCAACTTCCCAACAAAAAACTCCAACCCTGGGAGGGATAGGCTTATACCATACCTCCTTGACAGGAAAAGGTTGCAAAGAGTTAAAGGAGGGTTGGGTTAGGGCCATGAAAAAAGCACAAGAAAAGGATCTAAAAGGAGAGGGAGTCCATATCCATTCATCAGGCTTAGAGAAAGTTTTTCTCTGCAAAAGAATTATGTGCTTTATCTATTTTTATATTTTTATTATTTAATTTATAACATTTGACCCAAATGATTGAACCACTGACCTGCCACCTGGATGGAAAATAGGTTCTGTTGCCAAATCAGTCTTAAAAACATTGGTATTCAATACATAGGCAGATATTGGCCCTTCTTCTTCTCTTCAGGGTTTTTTTAGGGGAGGGCACATGTATGATTGCAACAACTTACCATAATGGTCCACTTCCTTAAATGGAGAGCAATTGAAGTGAGGGCTTTATTCCTGTGGCGAACACCTGCATCCAAAGTGTCTTCCAGTTCAGATAAGCGTGACAAAACCTGCAAAAAAAATCCAGATTAACAATCAAAAACCAAAACAGACTGTGGCATATACTAAACTTTACATGGTAACCAAACGAGTTCATCCAGAGAACATCTCTAGTGAACAGAATCTGATTCTATAAAGCATAACAAGAACAGGTAATGGAAACTTCTGAGCATGCATACCTCTTGAGTTACTTGCCTCTGTCTGGTAATATCTTCAGGAACAGGATAACAATTTGCGCCAAATGCTTCACAAATTTTCAGTATTTTTATTTTTGCCTGCTCGCCTGAGAAGAAAACTACAAACACTATCTTCTCAACCTGCATGGATAGAACCAAAGGAATTGATATAATCTCAATTGGCAGTTAAATGGTATGAAGGGTTATGGATGTATACAACCCAAACAATAAGTAAGAGAGAGAGAGAGAGAAAGAGATTGGGCCTTGGTGCAATGGTTGGGTTGCTCCATTGTGACCTGGGTGACCAGGGCTCAACTTTTTCCATAACCATTGCTTCTATACACCTTTTTCCTTCAAAGATTCACTTTTGCCCTCCAAACGCATTAACATAGCAAAAGGAGAAAGTTTCAAGAAGATAAACCCTCTAATGGAGACCAAGCATCAAAGGAGGAGAGGTTGCCTGGTATTACCCACTGCCAACTAAAGATTTTAATTAAGTGCCAAATATCCCACAAGAGCAAGGGCAATGTAAAAGGATATTTGAAACTGAGCCCTAGGAGCAAACATTCTGGATATCCCTGAGTAGCATTTTTGTTTATAAATCTCAAACTGGCTTGAGTTAATTCAATGTTTTGGTTGGGCCTTCACTGATTGAGTTGAAGGCAAGCCTAAAGAAATGGTGTGCCCAGAGACGTGGTATTTCTATGAGATTGAAAAGCTATTATAATTATTAGATATAAAAAAAGGTATTCGGGAAATTTACAAAAACTGAAGCAAACAAACCATTTCAACCGACATAGGATCCGTGGCATATTTCTCAGTTGGTGCTTGATTAAAAAGCATATTGCCCCTTGTCGCACGGAATATCATCCTCTCAAATCTTAGGGCTTTGGATTTGCAAATTATGCCACTAATAAATCTCAATCCAGCTTCATTCGATGGTCCAAGCCGTGTTTCCTATAAAAAGAGAAGTTGTTTAGTAAATGAAACCATAGAAGGTAGAGATATCATCTAACAATAGGAAAAAAGAACACTTGTTCAAGAAATGATGGTATATCTGCGTAGTTATCCTTTGAATATAAGTGAAATTGGTTATTTAAAATATTATTTAGTTATTTAAATAATATCATTATTTAAATTTTATAATTTTAATTATTAATTGAATTTAATAATTTATAAAATTATAATTTATTCTATTGTTAAATAATTTCATTATTAATTTATAAAAATTTAAATTATTATTAATTTTAATATTATGTTATATTTTTTTATTTTTAAATTTTTAAATTTATTGCATAATTTCGTTATTTTAACTATTTAAAATATAGTTATGTTAAATATTTTGTTATCTAACTATTTAAACAGTATATAAAATATTTAAAAATACTCATTATATTAATTTAAGATATTTAGTTATTGAAATATTTAAATAATATTTTATTTTTTAATGTTAAATTTCTATTATTTCAATAACATTTAATTTGAATAATTTGAAAAATCATTATATTGTTAGTACATAATTTTGTGATGAATTTTGTAAAAGTATAGAACTATTAATAATATGAATATTATTAAATCTATTGTAATTATTTTTTTGTGTTTTTAATAAATATTTTAAAGCTTATACTATCGTTACATAAATGCATTTTTAATTTTGTAAAACTATTAGATTATTATTAATTTGAATATTATGTTATGATTTTTTTATTTTATTGCATAATTTCGTTATTTTAATTATTTAAAATATAGTTATGTTAAATAATTCGTTATTTTAAATACTTAGTTATTTAAATATTTAAATAATAAATAAAATATTTAAAATACTCATTATTTGAATTTAAGATATTTAGTTATTGAAATATTTAAATAATTAAACATTTTTCTATGTAATTATTTATCTTTTTTTAGTATTTTGTTATTTAAGATATTCAGTTATTGAAATATTGAAATAATATTTTATTTTTTAATGTTAAATTTATATTATTTGAATAACATTTAATTTGAATAATCTGGAAAATCATAATTTATATTGTTAGTACATAATTTCATGATGAATTTTGTAAAAATATAAAACTATTAATAATATGAATATTATTAAATCTATTATAATTATTTTTTGTGTTTTTAATAATTGTTTTAAAGTTTATACTATTAGTACATAATTTCATTATTAATTTTGTAAAAATATTAAATCATTATTAATTTGAATATTATGTTATGAAGGTAAAGAGATATCATCTAACAACAGGAAAAAGAACACCTGTTCAAGAAATGATGGTATATCCGCATAGTTATCCCTTGAATATAAGTTTTCATCTAATTCCCTCTCCTGTGCAACCGTATGGTGCTGACCAGAAACAAGGAAGCCACCTGCCTGGAATCAAAAAGCATGAGAATACAGAAGAACACAAACTTATTGTAAATTCATAAGAATGTTGTCTATGTGAAAAAGAACTATAAAGGGTAATAATATTCATCACTTAAGAGACAACTGTTAAGAGTGCACATAAGAATGAAGAAAAATGCACATATTTCTATCTTAGATATTGTGTGAATGATGAGGATAATATTTGAGAGAGAAACAGACAGATTATTCTCATTATTTAGCATAGCCATGTCATCTTTAGCATAACAGTGTGCAGGGTCCCCATCCTACTTTTCATTTTCATTTTTTCCATATGCAGACAGATAAAAGTATATAATTATTATATAAGGAATTTATGAAGGGAAAGGACTTTCTATTTCACCGGGCATTTTAAAGGAGATAAAGAATCTTAAATTCCATAATCTTGTATTAGGGTAGTTGAGCTAATCTTTTATCCCCTACCCAAAAAAATGTAATATACAATGTACATAGTAGCATATATCTCATTTCTAATCTTGTCCCTCCTAATCTCGCCACTCATCCATCATAGCTACACGATGACAGTATAAGGTTTGTTTATCTGACCCCAAGGAGTGGAGAGAGCATAGTTGTACTCCCAGGATATTTCCCAATGCATTTTATTTGTCTGTAGTCCTGGAGTCCTTGCAAGTCCCTGCATAGGCTATAAGATTGGATTCCCTCTTTTATGTTTTCTTCTAATTAATTTGAACTCTATGGTTTGGCTAATCATCAAAAAAAAAAAAAAAAACAACAACACCACAAACTGAATTGAAGGAAAAGGAAACAAGAAATTTTCATACCCATAAAACACAAGAGCAGCTATGCTATGAACAATTTGGGAGGAATGAAATGTGAGAAGTTACCAAGAAAAACACTAATTCAAAGAAGCAGTAATAAATCTAACAAAAATTAGTTATTCATTGGGTGAAAACAAAATAAGAGTTCAACTTTTAAACAGATGAGATATCCTTAAGAGGATGGTCCATAACGGCTGCATCATCCTACATATGTAATAGACCTATTACCTACCATGATGTGGATCCCTTCCCTACTAGGCAGAATAAAAATGAATTTTGATGGGTGCAGCATTGGGAACCCCGTGGAGTTAGGTATTGGAGGTGCTGTCACTTGTCAGGAACCATATAGAGGAGGCTATATTAGCTTTCTCAGTACCAGTTGGAGTTTGGAACTTCATAGAAGTTGAATTGCATACTGTATTTCAAGGACTGAAATTGGCCAGTGCATATAGTTTCATGTGAATGCTTGTAGAAGAAGACTCAAAATCAATTATCAGCTGGCTAAAGGGAGAAATGGATGGATGTTGGAATCTCAAATATCAGATTAGGGAAGCAAGACACTTCTGTACAAGAGTACAAGCAGAAGTCCTATGGACCCCTCAATCAGCCAACTCTATAACAGATTCTCTAGCCAAGGAGGGAGTAGAGATACAGGTTCTGATGTGAGAAGAATATCCAATGGGCAAAAAACTGATCTGTGTAAGATTGGGGAACTCTCAAATGAGCAAGGACTATCACTGTCTTAGCTGTATTCAATCTCTCTGTTTTATTGATTTTGAGAATGTACATCTTGCACATTATCATTGTACTTTTCTCACAAGTCACAATCAGTAAAATATACAAGTCAAAAAAAAAAAGCTCATATCAATAACAAGTACTGGAAGATATGGTATTGTTTCTAAAACTTGTAATTCCCCCAGTTAGAATAAAGGCTCCAAGTTGAATGGGAGCCAATAGGACCCCAACTCTAAAGCCCCTAATCAGTTATCTTTTATCAACCTTGCTTACCCCACCATATGACAATGACCATCATTAAGATGTCACTAGAACATGATTTCTATCGAAAGATAAGAAAAAGGATTTCTTTCAAAAAACAATAAATGTGTACCTTTTGCAAAACCATCTTGAACTCCAGGAGCTCATTGTAAGTTTGTCGCAGTTTCTCGCTATTTGCATTCATTTCAATAAGTTCATGTTCATGCTCAGAAAGTTGTATCTGGAAAAAAAAAATATTGCAATTAATAATCCATATTACGTTTCTGAATGAAGTAGTCCTCATTGGAAGAAAGAACAACTCATCGCTATAAAGTTATCTGTGCAAAAAAAAAGTAATAATTAAATAATAATATAATATTAATTTATTGGTATATAATTAAGAAACAAACCTCTAATTCTTCCAAGTCAACATCTGGTTGTGGTGAAGAATGAATAGGGGATACCATACCAGCTTTACTGATTTGATCTTTAAAAAAGCGTAGCTTCCGTGAAATCTCCCCACATCGTTTTACCTACAAAATAGCTCCAAAACATGAATTCCATGGATCATGGCTCATAGTTGCACGAAATGGCATTCATCATATCAAAAAGATAGTGAAAAATCGGGAAAGAGAAAAGCTCAGCATACCAACTATAGTGAAAAATCAGCAAACATCAAGAATGTTTTGTGGGACTCAGCATCGGGCTCTATAAAATATTCCTAACGTAAATTGTAAGATTCACTCATATCAGCTACAAGTTTGATGAATTAACGTGCCTAGAATTACTCTCTCCAGGAAAATTAGTTGTTTACTTAAATTAATTTAAAGCACTCTTTTTTTTATCAGTAACAGAAAACTTTCATTAATTAGAAAAAGTTTAAAATACAAAGGTGGGGGGAGGTAAACCCTCTTAACCCCCTCCCCCCAACAGGAAAATTACATAGTAGCCCAAAACAATTGACTTCTTCCCACCCCCTGTTTGGCCAAAGCATATGCAAATGAATTAGCACATCTTTTAACCCACCAGACATGCACATCCATTCCTTGGGTTATCCACTTGAACTGCCTTCTTTCATTAATGTATGCCCATAACCCATTGTCTGCCTTCTCTATCCAGCCAATTACCACTTGCAAATCTCTTTTGATAATCAACCTATTTATATTCAACTCCCTAGCCCTTTTTACCCCTTCCAAAAGGGCCTGAATTTCTGCTCTCAGAGAATCTCCAACTCCAATTGGTCCTGAAAAAAGTGCTATAACCGAACCTGCCTCTGTTCTGAACACATCACCAACCCCTGATGGCCCTGGATTTCCTTCACTGCTCCCATCAAAGTTGAGTTTGTTAAAGCCTTCCATCGGAGGGAGCCACATCGGATGGACATTGACTCTACTAGGAGCCGAGACTGCTATCTCATGCCAATTATTCATGATGGTCTCTATTGAAGTATCCTCAAATAGGTTCATTGTTTTTACCTATTGTGCTACCCTCAAAGAAACCACTTCTATAATTGTGTCCCTGCTTCTTTATTTTTCATCAAATATCCTTTGGTTCCTTTCCTCCCAAATCGTCCAATAAACTGCTGCCTTAGTGCACCTCCACAAGATTTTTCCCCTCTTTTTAATCTGGCTACCAACTGGATAGGTGAAGAGGCCACGAATGCTTGAAGGGGGAGTTCACCTGCAACCAAATAAAGAGAGAAACCACTCCCAAATAGAAGAAATAAAAGGGCAGGATATAAGTAAATGAGAGCAAGATTCACCATCAGCTTTACAAAGGGTACACCAGTGTGGGGACAAGCACCAAAACGGACACTTTTTTTGAAGATGACCACAAGTATTAATTCTTCCCAAAGCTATTTCCCAACAAAGAGCTCCAACCCTAGGTGGGACCGGTCTTCCCCACACTTCTTTAGAAGGAAAGGAAAAGGCAGGAGTAAAAGAAGAATGGGCCAGGGCATTGAAAAAGGAGGCACAACTGAAAGAGCCAGAAGAAGAAAGGATCCAAATTCGGGAATCCCCTTTTGACGGTTCTAAGAAAACCTTTTGAAGTACCTGAACCAATGACCACACCAACTCCATCTCAGAATCTCTGAGACCTCGTCTGAAACCCAAATTCCAATTAAGCTGATGACCTGGGCCAACGGAAGAAACTAAAGATGAGGCAGTTAAGTTTTTGTACCTAGAAAGGGATAAAAGGGAAAGATATTGATCCTTAAGTGGTGCCTCCCCCGCCCACACATGTTCCTAAAACCTTACTATATTTCCAGAACACAAATTATACATGACAAAGGGTAGAAAACAAGGAAGAATGGCATGGATGGCTTTCCAAGGTGCTGTTGCTGATGCTCTAGCCAAAATTCTTGCATCCCAGACTCTGTGGATTAAATGTATTTTTCACACTGTCAAGTCCAGTGGGTACAGCTTTTTTTCTGGAAAAGGATCACCCAATTGGAGATCTTTTGCTTCTGCAAATACCATGGAGTTGCAGGCTCCCAAGGATCCTCTCGATGAGGGAAGTTTAAATACTAAACAACTGTTGGAAAATGTGGGGTTACTGGTGCAGATCTATATTTGGTAGTTGTGTAAAAATAGAATTGTATATATTCCTAGGATTGTGGAAGGATTGATTTAGAAAGTTTTCTTTTTATTTCTTTCTTTCTATTCTTGTACTTTCTATTTTCTTTTCTTTCTATTTTTCTACTTTCTATTTTCTCTTCTTTCTATTTTTTTTTTCTTCTTTCTATTTATTGCAGCAGCTTACTGTATAAATATGTCAATTGGCAATAGAATGAAATACATCAGTATTCTACCATTCCAAAACATGGTATCAGAGCTCTAGGTTTGTCAACCTTGAGATTTTTTTTCGGCCTTCATTGCCAGTTTTTCGTGTTTTTCTCTTCTACCCTTCAGTGTTGATCTGTAACCAGAAGTGTTCCTTTATTCTCCTTTATTCCGGCCAGTTCTTCCCTCTTTTATTCTCC